TGGTACTGAGTATATGTGGATGTATTGATATATGTGGGAGTATTGGGTATATGAGGTGGTATTGTGTATACATGGGAGCTTTGGATATGTATATTTATAGTGTATAAATAACTTTTGGCAACCTCCTTTTTCCAAGATGACAGCTCTGAGTCTTCTCCTATAATGCCTGATGAGTTTGGAGAACAAATTAAACAAAAAAAAGGGACTTTTTGGCAGCAAACAGTTAATATGAGTTTGGCTTATATAGGGATAAAAAAGTACCCCATGTGTCAAATGAAATACTCTGCTGTATCTTTAATGCTGTGGGCCTAATTTTCTGCCACAGGTACTGGACATTCAGATACATGGCATCATGGATTCGATCAAATACCAACAGATAAAAAAATCTAAACCTGACAGCCTGTGCTAGAAATCTTATGACGGACCATGTTTGAATCTTCCAACAGGACAGTGATCCAAAAACAAACATCAAAATCATAACAAAAATGGGTCACTGAGCACAAAACCAAGCATCTGCAATGGCCGTCCCAGTCCCTGACCTGAAGCCTATAGAAGATGAGTGGGCTGAACAGAAGAGAAGAAGCGCCAACATGGATCTGGGAATCTGCAGGATCTGGAGAGGATCTCTTGTCAGGTGTTCTCCAAACTCATCAGGCATTATAGGAGAAGACTCAGAGCTGGTATCCTGGAAAAAGGAGGTTACAAAAAGTATTTAATAAAAGCAGGCAAATAATTGTTCCCAACGTGTTTTGGAGAAAAATATTTATTTCATAATGTGATTCCCCCCATAAAAAATAAAATATCAAAAGGATAAACAATGCAGATTTATTTGTACAGCCATCTTTGATCATATTTACCAAGGGGGCAAATAATTCTGACCAGTACTGTATGAGGTTGCATTGGGCTCCACAAGTATTGGCACCCTTGGTAAATATGAGCAAAACTGACTGTGAACATTTGTTAGCCTTTCATTTAAAATATTCACAAAAATCTAAACTTGAATTAAAGTCAAATAGTTGAAAGAATTATAAGATCATTTAAAAATGATAAAAATTTAAAATTTAAAAATTTAAATGATAAAATAATATTTTTGACATGACAATATTTTTCGGTGTATTCCACAATTATTGACACCCCTTCATATTTGTGCAACATCCCTTTGCCAAGATAACAGCTCTGGATCCTCTCCTATGATGTGTAATAAGGTTGATGAGCTTATGGCAATATCTGAAACCTTTCCTTCATATCCAGATTCCTCAGATTTAGAGGTCCATGCTTGTGGACTGTTTTCTTCAGCTTATCCCATGGGTTTTTTTACGGGGTTTGGTTCGGGGGACTGCTGTGTTCATGGCAAATTCTTCATTCTGTGGTCAGTGAACTATTCTGTTGTTTTGCTTTGGATCATTGTCATGCTGGAAAATCCTAACGCAGCCCAGTTTAAGGTTCCTGGCAGGGTCAGTCTGGTGTTGATTTAATATCTGCTGGTACTTGATGAAGTTTATGATACTGTATATCATAACTAGTTGTCCAGGGACTTCGGAAGAAAATTAGCCTCACAGTGTTACAGATCCACAACCATACTTCACAGTGGGGATGAGGGACTTTTCTACATGGCAATGTTTCGGTCAACACCAAATCCACCTCTGGTGTTTTTCCAAAAAGCTTTATTTTGATCTCATCTGACCACAAAAATCCAGTCTCACTGAAAGTTTCAGTAATGCCTGGCAAACTGTAGGTGCATAGGCTTGCTGTTTGAGGCTTTTTATAGCAACCTTCTCAAACAAGCTGTGGTTATATAGCCTAGGTGAGGTCTAATCATATGTTTTGGGACTTTCTGACCCCTAGACCCAACTGGCATATGCATTCTGCAATTCTCCAACTTTAATCCTTACAGTTTGTTTGGCAGTTCAAACCATCCTCCTCAGAGTGTGTGGGACCAATGTAGACACACATCTTCTTCCAGGTTGTTAATTTCAACTTCTTAATTATTGCCCAGATAGTGGAAATGAGTATTCCTAACAATTAAACTTATCTTATAGCCATTTTATGATTTGTGCAACTCAACCTTTTTCACACATCATTACATCATCACTGTATTCTCAGGTCTTTCCCATAGTGATGGAAGACAATAGGCAGACTAAGACTAATTTCACTTCACATTTAGAGCCCAGTGGAACAGGAAGACAGGACTTATCACTTGTGTTCCTGATCAATAAGGTGAACTTAAAATCATTCCATATGAATGGGAATATAGTTCAGTTAGATTTCTACTCACTAGAATATTTAGGGGTGCCAATAATTTTGGCACATATATTTTGGAGAAAACTTTATTTATTTAATTTATTCCACATTTATATTTTGTGTAAATTAACTTCAATCAATTTAAATTAACTTCAAATAAAGGTTGGATTTTTGTGAATATTTTGAATAAAAGACTAAGAGGAGAAATGACAAAAACTAATTTTCACAGTAAGTTTTGCTCATATTTACCAAGGGTGCCAATATTTGTGGAGCCCACTGTGTGTGATGGTATTGGGTATACACTCACCGGCCACTTTATTAGGTACACCTGTCCAACTGCTCGTTAACACTTAATTTCTAAGCAGCCAATCACATGGCGGCAACTCAGTGCATTTAGGCATGTAGACATGGTCAAGACAATCTCCTGCAGTTCAAACCGAGCATCAGTATGGGGAAGAAAGGTTGATTTGAGTGACTTTGAACGTGGCATGATTGTTGGTGCCAGAAGGGCTGGTCTGAGTATTTCAGAAACTGCTAATCTACTGGGATTTTCACGCACAACCATCTCTAGGGTTTACAGAGAATGGTCCGAAAAAGAAAAAACATCCAGTGAGCGGCAGTTCTGTGGGCGGAAATGCCTTGTTGATGCCAGAGGTCAGAGGAGAATGGGCCGACAGATTCAAGCTGATAGAAGAGCAACAGTGACTGAAATAACCACTCGTTACAACCGAGGTATGCAGCAAAGCATTTGTGAAGCCACAACACGCACAACCTTGAGGCGGATGGGCTACAACAGCAGAAGACCCCACCGGGTACCACTCATCTCCACTACAAATAGGAAAAAGAGGCTACAATTTGCAAGAGCTCAACAAAATTGAACAGTTGAAGACTGGAAAAATGTTGCCTGGTCTGATGAGTCTCGATTTCTGTTGAGATATTCAGATGGTAGAGTCAGAATTTGGCGTAAACAGAATGAGAACATGGAACCATCATGCCTTGTTACCACTGTGCAGGCTGGTGGTGGTGGTGTAATGGTGTGGGGGATGTTTTCTTGGCACACTTTAGGCCCCTTACTGCCAATTGGGCATCGTTTAAATGCCACGGCCTACCTGAGCATTGTTCCTGACCATGTCCATCCCTTTATGGCCACCATGTACCCATCCTCTGATGGCTACTTCCAGCAGGATAATGCACCATGTCACAAAGCTCAAATCATTTCAAATTTGTTTCTTGAACATGACAATGAGTTCACTGTACTAAAATGGCCCCCACAGTCCCCAGATCTCAACCCAATAGAGCAGTGGTTCTCAACCTCTCCTGCAGGGACCCCCTGACACACCATGTTTCTGTTTTAACCCTGAAATGGCACACCTGATTCAATTAATTGAAGGCTTAATGAGTAGTTGACTAATTGATCAATTAACTAATTCCTACTTCCTACTCTAATAATGACTCATTAAGCCTTTAATTAATTGAATCAGGTGTGCCATTTCAGGGTTAAAACAGAAACATGGTGTGTCAGGGGGTCCCTGCAGGAGAGGTTGAGAACCACTGCAATAGAGCATCTTTGGGATGTGGTGGAACGGGAGCTTCGTGCCCTGGATGTGCATCCCACAAATCTCCATCAACTGCAAGATGCTATCCTATCAATATGGGCCAACATTTCTAAAGAATGATTTCAGCACCTTGTTGAATCAATGCCACGTAGAATTAAGGCAGTTCTGAAGGCGAAAGGGGGTCAAACACAATATTAGTATGGTGTTCCTAATAATCCTTTAGGTGAGTGTATGTATATACAAGTGAAATAAGTCATAATTTCTTCCTAAAATCATTTCCACGCAATACATATTGAAATGGTTTATGATTATATCACTCTTTGTTCAAATATAGTTTTAATAATGTAATATATTTTTGTAATACATGTATAATATATTGATGCATTTTCATAATTGGAGCTCAAAAGTCTGGGCTTAGAACAAAGGTAATTTATAGAAGACATTTGCAAAGTATTAAAAATAAATGTTTAAGGGATACTCCACCCAAAAATGAAAATTATGTCATCATTTACTCACCCTCAAGTTGTTGCAAACCTGTATGAGTTTCTTTCTTCTGCTGAACACAAAGGAAGATATTTTGAAGAACGATTGGAACTTTGGCACCATTGACTTCCATAGTATTTTTTTTTTCTACTATGGAAGTCAATGGTGCCAAACAACTGTTTGGTTCCAATCGTTCTTCAAAATATCTTCCTTTGTGTTCAGCAGAAGAAAGAAACTCATACAGGTTTGCAACAACTTGAGGGCGAGTAATTGTCATTTTTGGGTGGAGTATCCCATTAAATGTATAAGGTTTCCAAGTTTTAATGACATGAAAAAAAAAAAAAAAAAAAAAAAAATTAAATCAGTTTTAATAGAATTGAAAATAAAGTTGCCCAAAGGAGAGGCAGTTACCAATTTTAGTTATGTTGAATCTATTCTCCCCAAGATTAATTGTCTTCAGTAGAGTAAAAAAACAACTGCTAACAAATTGCTAATAAAGCCACATACCCAACAGAAATGCTCCAGTCGACTAGATGCAGTTATTTGTGAACTTGTATCTACATCTGTAATTTATAAACCTTTACAGCTTAAGTTACATCTTGTGTGCATTAGTTCTTAAGCTTACACTTCCATAGCTTGTATGTTGTATAACATTAGCAACACTTTGAATAAAATTAGAAAATTAGTAAAAAAACAAACAAATCACATATGACAAGAAAGTCAGTGCATTAGATTCTCTTTAATATTAACAAGTACAAATGCATTTTCTTCAAAAACGTGATACAGAAAATACATTGCCTCACATTATTCTGGTTTCTAACGCATTGAGAATGTCTTCTAGGCCAATAAAGTTAACCTGAGAATTCATATTGTTAGACCTTTATACAGGGTGAGATCAGCCATCCAAAAGAAAAAATATTTAAATAGGCTAATGAATAAGAATAAAGCAACAGTTCCATTTGAATCTAAATACAGCTTTGCTAATGTTAGAAGCTAATTGCTGGCCCGTAGAAGAAGGTAATGAACACACTGATTGACGTCACCACCAGACTGATTGAAGTACAGACACTATTCACTGTGAGCACTGCTATGAAAACTTTACAACAGCTTATTCAGATGGAACTGATCTCTGCCATACATCACAAAATTACACCGACATGGAGCATTTCCTGAACATTTCAAAGCATAAAGACAGCATATTTGTCTATGCCTGATGAGTGCATACAGTGTGCGCGTGTGAATGTCACAATAATCACACTGGGACAAGTTCAAACAAAAGGCACCAAAACTCAGGAGGCTCTTTCTTCACCAAATTGCGCACTAAATATCAAAATATAATAATCACTGCTGACAAGCATAAGCCATGTCATATATTTGAGAGCTGTTTTCCCAGGAAGCAGATGTATGTCATCAAGACACATTACACACATTTGTGTACAGATATCACAAAAACGTTTTTTTTTTTTTTTTTTTTTTTTAATACCCAGCAGATTCACTTACATTTGAAACCATAAATGTTGCAAAAACTTTCCAGTCTGCACTGGAAGCAAGCGGCCACACAATGCGAAAACCTAGATTGCTTCCATTCTAATCAACAAAACAAAATCAAGATATTTGTTGCATTGGAATGTTCCCTTTCAATTTAAATTGGGTTTAATTTATATCAGGGAACATAAAATAATCTTATTCTCTAAATGAAATGTCCAAGGTGTCTTCTGTGACATACATGTGCTAGGGTTGTTGCATTTTTCTAAATGGCAAAATAATAATTCAATAGAAACCATGAACAACAATCATTATAGAGAAGCATAAACGTTATCATAAAAATATTTTTGATCTATATTCACTGCGTAACATTAAATCAAACTAAGCCATGTGTCAGCAAACTTGTGCATTTCCTTGTGGTTAGTGCAATATCAAGCCTTTGCAACTGAGCATTGCTCCACAACTCACTTCAATTCACTTTCCAAATACCAAGACTCCATAAAAGGTACAAAGTGGGCCAGATTCAATTACATAATCGCAAAATTCACATTTTTATCCAAGCACTGAAATTAGTATTTGATCAAACGTTGAAAATTACACATTTAATAAAAGAAGCTTAGTAAATGAAATGACTCCTCATAGAGGACTACTCTTACTGTGTATCTTTCAACCCTGGATAAACGTAGAGAAATATCAACCAATTTTCAAATGAATTAGGAGGCTAACAAAGGTTGTGCTTTTTACTGCCAGATACGATGACTAATCATGTTTAGTCCTCAATCTGTTAAGAAAGTGTTTGAGATGTGTAGTTGATAGTACTCCAGTTTGACGTTTCAGCCTCAGTAGTGGCGTTTGCAGTCATATAGGACATCGTTTCATCTCCTGAGTTCCCACTAAATGTCTTCCTCAGCATAAACCTGCACAGCATGGCTATGTACCCATGTGAAGAAAAATAAATAAGAGATATATTCCCAAACAAATCCCATTGTTTAGCAGCTGCACAAAGCGTGTTTGTAAAACGAATGACTCAAATTTTCTCTAAAATGGCCACTGAACAACTTAAGTAATTTTCACAGTTAGCACTCACACCATGACATCCAGCTCAGTTAACACACCAAAAGCTGCCTTTCACTGTTAACAGAGGAAATAATGTACAAAGTAAAAGCACAAACTACAAAAAGTTCAAATAAAACTGAGGTTCCCCAAGGTTCTCTATCAGGTCCAAGCCACTTTGCGGGAGATGGCCTGTTTAAAGCACTCTGGGTCCGTGTTCCCGCCCGGTCGCAGTGCTCTTTCGAGACTTACCAGAACGTTCTGATGGGACTCGCGAATGTTGATGGGGTGTTTGGCTCTGAGCAGCTCATAGGCGGCAATAAGCCTCATATTTTGCTTGACCATGAGGTACTGAATAATGCAAGTGGGGGCAAGGGAAATACCATCACGACAATGGACCAACACTCGCTTCCTCTTCTCCGTGGAGGCATCAATGCACTCATTGATGTCCTCGAAGCAGCGGTGCTTGAGGGCGAGGCCTTCTTGGACGGTGTCCGGGAGGTCGCTCATGTCCACTTTGAGCCGAGACCAACTATGCTTGACACCCCTTGAACAAGTGCAAGGAATGACTCTCAAACAAGTCTCCCCAGGTAGGCTGCTCATGTCGATGATGCTATCGATGTTATTTCGGCACAACGTACGTCCGCTATAAGCCGCGTTCAGGTTGCCCACGTAAATGTAGTCTGTAACCTTGGATATAACCGGATCCGAGTACTGGAAGTGTTCAGAGACGCTCTGCTTGGGTTCTGGAGTCTCTGGGCCCGTCTTGGCACTGCCGGGAACTGCTCTGCGACTGTAGTTGCGCATTTTCTTGGATCCAGAGCGGGAAGGGGGGTTAGAGTCAGACTCAGAGCTGCTGTTCCAAGGAGGGGAGAAGAGTGAAAAGCGACTAGAGGACTTGCTCTTGGTGAGGTGCTCCACCGGACTGGAGAGGCCAGAGCCAGTGGTGGTGGAGCCAGAAGCGCAAAAGAGAGACGCTCTTTCCAGGGAGCCTGTGCTGCTGGCTGCTCCGGCACTATGGGCCTGCTCCATCTGACAAAAAAAAGTCACACCATTAAGAAAGGTTTTCAAACTGAACATTTCAAACCTCCTTTGCAACGAGTTACGAGCAGCTGACTTGAAAGTACTTCCACCTACCTGAGCTTTGAGGTTGTTCTTCCATTCCTGGGTCTCCAGAGCTTTAAAGCGCCCATTGCTGTCGGAGGACACTGAGAGACACAGGGGCCGATGGGTCCTGGGCGGTAGCTGGGGCGTCAAGGCCATGGCTAGCGGCCGGGAGTCGGGCTGCTCGTTCCTATTCATCAGGTCTGGACAGGAGCCTTCGATACACCGAGTAATTGAGATCAATGAACAGCAACTGAGATTTTTTTTTTACTTCTTTAAACAAATTAATGTGCAGGTTTAAGCTTTGTCTGTGAAACCAGACACTAATGTAATGGCAGAGTCCCACTTCAACCATGCCCTAAAGTGCTCAACAAGCTTATGAGAAACTGCCCTTAAAGGGATAGTTCACCCAAAAATGAAAATTCTGTCATCATTTACTCACTCTCATGTGGTTCCAAACCCGTAAGACTTTCGTTCATCTTCGGAACACAAATGAAGATATTTTTAATGAAATATGAGCGATTTCTGTCCCTCCATTGACAGTAGGGCTGGGTTTCGATTCAAATTTCAAGAATCGATTCGATTCCGATTCTCAAGATCTTGAATCGATTATCATTATTCGATCCGATCCGATCTTCGAGATTTAGATAAGTGTTTTTGTTTTTTTCCAGCTGTTACCTGAATTACAGGACTGTAGTTATGCAACATATTGATACTATTAGGCTATTATAGACATTTAACTGCAAATTAATGGGAGTATTGATGGTTGTAAAGAACAATCCCCCTTCCAGAGTGTTGATACAACTGCTTTCACAAACTTGCACTGGTGTAGACGACAGAGGACGCAGAGGTATGCCTATATCAGCAGCAGTATTAGGGCTGTCGCGATTACCGCAATCTTGTAGTACCGCGCTACTGACAAGTCAACCGCAGAAGATTACAAGTAACCGAAGCAACCGCGATATTCACGTTTTTTTATAAGGCTATACCCTTCTTGTTTTGAACTTCATGCATGTGTATTGAATGCTAAACAAGTTCATAATGATAACAAACAAGACTGTTTATCGTGGTGATGTGTAGCCTACAGAGGCTTCGCACAGACAGTGAATGAGAGAGATCGGCAGAGCGCGTGCGGATTACCTGCGTCTGTCTTTGAAGTCATGTATTCGTGAAAAAGGTTGCCGTGTCAAAGGAAAGTGAAATATTTGTTGTATCATCCTTTTAACTTTCACGTCACGGGTATTTACCATAAATGCGCGTCAGCAGCAGCGCTGGTCAGCATTCCACAGCGCGAGGAAGCCGCGGGGAAATAAAATCAGCGAGTCACGCATTGAATCAATGCCATATTGGTCTCTAATAAGTGAAGCATCAGCTTCAGCGTTACCCATGCGACGCATTGCTGCTCAGCTGAGCCTTGAAAAGTGGAACTTAAAGTTAAAAATAATTAACACCTTGTTTCATTACATCTCTTTTAATGAATCAGCTTTTTTGAACGTGTTCGTTGAATGAACGGTTTAATGACTCACTTAAAGCCCGTTGTTGTAACAGTGTGCGCGCTGAGTGAAAGCCTTTCAATGCGCATAGGGATCTCCCAGTCGCGGCAAGTTAAAGTTCACGGGGAAAATGTAAGCCTATTATTAAATCGATCCTCTGAGTTACGGATCGATCTTTAGAAATTAATATGAAAATCGATTCAGAATTGGTGAATCGATTTTTTCAACACAGCCCTAATTGACAGCTAAGCAACTAACACTTTAAAGCTTCAAAAAGTTCATAACTATATGAATTGAGCGGTTTAGTCCAAATTTTCCAGTGAGGTTCATTCTAGTATTACGCAGCACGTTTGAGCTTCAGCAAGAACCAATGAGGTTCATTGTCGTGTTAAGCAGCACGCTTGAGCTTTGTTCAAGAGGTTAGTTCTCGCCCGTCAAGCAGGTTCAGTTCAGCTTATGTTTATGTTCGCTGATCAATGTTTATATTTGAATAAAAGCCTAGATTCAATCTATTCATCATATAAAGCGATCATGTCTCTTCAGAAAACTTGGACTAAACCACTCAATTCATATTTATTAGTTTTGTGATCTCTTTATGAACGTTTTGAAGCATCAACATGGCAGTTGTGTATCTGTCAATGGAGATCACAAATTAATTTGTGTTCCAAAGATAAACGAAAGCCTTCCGGGTTTGGAACAACAGGAGGGTGAGTAAATGACAGAATTTTCATTTTCGTGTGAACCAACCCTTTAAGTTTCTCCCTATAAGGCACCTGTCTGTCAGTGAGCGTGTGATTCAATGAGGACACTCATTAATGGAGCTGAGAGTTTGATCCAGGACAACACGAATCAGGCATTAATACTCCCACATCACTTACTTCAGACAGCCATTCCATCGTGTCATTGCTCCGCCAATTTACTGTGTATGTTTGTTTACACGACACAATGCTATAAAGCAGTTTAGCTTTTAAAATTTAGCCAGCTGCGACTAAATTAAGTATCTGCACATTAGCAAAACAACCACTGTCAACAGTGCTGAAAGACATTCAGACTCATGAATAATCGCCAATTAAATATATATTAAACAGTTCCATGCAATGGCTTCTTGTTTTAAAGAAATTGGGCATTTACACGCATATACAATTTGTGCCCCAGATTCTCAATATGAAATTCCTTGTTATTTCGTAAGCTTTCTTTTATTTATTTGCAGTCAAATTTATTTCAATTTACTCTAATTATACTAAATCACGTTTGTTAAGATTGTATTGTCATATGGACGGAACACCTATGGAGAACATACCAATAAGATATTTAACAGAAATACATATTTGATAGACAGTGACATCCAGTATATGAATGTCAGCAGCACAATACAGAAATGATGTCCTGAAAAATCCAAACACAAACTGTAGTACTTACCAGTGGCACATGCTGAACGAGAAATGGGCTGTAGCTGCAAACGATTGCGAATCTTGAGAGAGTTCAGTAGATTTTTTGCAATCATGCCTGGATAAAACAGAATAAAATACTAAGGTTGTCTGAACCAGAAACAAATCACCAGTAGGGTGAAGAAAAGCAAAGATCCTATGAAATCCAATTTGGAGTTGTGTGGTTTTAGTGCATGTTTGCGTTCGGGGGTGTATAAAAACTTTCATCTAATCAAATGGTCTCTAGAAAATAACAAATCATGGTTCACGGCTGTGGCATAAACAAAAGACATACGCATTTATTTATTTTTAAAAAGTGGAATCGGCCAACAAATCACAAACAAAAAAATACAAAAATGAAAACTTTTAAACTTAAATGAAACATTAATAATTCAGAGTCTTAAAATATAAAATTAACATGGAAATATGCTGTACTGGTTTCCCACACCTTCTGACCAAGGAATATCTTCACTGAATATTGTAGACAGTACTAGTTTATTAAATACTTAAATCTGAAATTTTCATAACTTTTGTATTAATTATAAAGTTATTAATTACATATTATAAAATCCAGGCCTCTTCCATTCCATTTCAGGTTTTTCATGGACATGAACATCTTAGATTGTCGAAAGAAAGATCTTACACAGATCTTACACTTACACAGTAAAAAAAAAATGATTTAGAAAATAAATGTAAGATGCTACAGTAAATCCTGTTCATTTTAAGTTACCTTACCATATGCAGTAAAAAACATTATAGCAAATTTAACAGGACAAGTAAAAGTAAAGTAAATCAATAAGTAAAAAGCAATTTCAAAGACCGAACCAAACACTGAGATGTATTCACTCACATTTCCCTAATGTGTAGGCCCAAACAGTTAACATCATAGTTCAACAAAAGCGCAAGTCTTTATACAGACACCATAATAACAAAAGTATGTACAAAAAATGCAAAGACAAAACGTTTTCGATATCACATCATCAGTGTCTTTGCACTGTGAACATTTTTAGAAGTAAAATTAATTATCAATAATTTACAGTGGGAAAAAAAACTATCATCAAGACAATACATGTACACTACCGTTCAAAAGTTTGGGGGCGGTACGATTTTAAATACTTTTAAAAGAATTCTCTTCTGCTAACCATGGCTGCGCTTATTTGATTAAAAATACAACAAAAATCAGTTATAGTATTAAATATTATTCCAGTGTAAATCAGCTGTTTTCTGTGTGAATATATAGTAAAGTGTAATTTATTCCTGTGATCAAAGCTGAATTTTCAGCATCACCAGTGTCAGTGTCTTCAGTGTCAAATGATCCTTCACAAATCAGTATAATATGAGGATTTGATGCTCAAGAAACATTTATTATTATTATCAATGTTGAAACAGTTGTTGGTCTGTCAATTGTACAGGTTTTTTTTTTTTTTTTTTTGGATTCTTTGATGAATAGGAAGTTCAAAAGAACAGCATTTGTTTGAAACAGAATCTTTTGTAACATTATAAATGTCTTTACTGTCCTTGATAAATAAAAGTATTGATTTCTTTCCTCCAAAAAATAAAAATAAAATTCTCACTGACCCCAAACTTTTGAACGGTAGTGTAGGTGATGGTATACAGTAAAATACTGTTACGTTAAATACTGTAACGTTTGTAAGCTTTGGTTAGAGGTGGCTGAAATGCAACTTAACGCAAATCCGCCAGCCTGCATGGAGAGGTTCTTGAGACACCAGCAGCTTCAAATACCCGTTTGCTGCTCAACAGTTAATACAATTCATATTTTTTGATAGGAACTTTCCTTAATAAGCCTTTATCCGTGCCAGTTCTCTTGTGCTGTAAATTACTCAAATATCTTATATAATCTACATTTAGTTTTCACACAGTATTAGTTGTTTTCATGTCCTTTGCATAACATTGCACCATTTCTTGCTTTTCATCTTCAGAAAGATCTTTTTTTCCTCCCCATATTGCATGAGAACTGTGACTTGCTTAATAATGTGGAACAACCTCTTTAAGTAGGGTTTCCTTTCACCTAAGACCGAACTATTTAACACACCTCTCTTGATACCAGTTATCTAAAAAGATATGGAGAAATAAAACAAGCAAACACTTTCTTTGAAAAACTCAAATCTGAATGTTTGTTATACTGAAATCCTACTAATATGTCGCTTGCATAATAATTTGGAACACAGTGTAAAGATAAACTGTAATTCCATGCTGATTGACTTTTCTTTTTTTTTTTTTACTACAATGGTGATCATTTGTATATTTTAAGGTACACTGTTTGTAGTAGTCCAAGAATGTTATTTTTAGATTATACACGTTAATTATATTGGTTGCTCTTGTAATGCCTAAAACCTTGTAATAGTTAAATTTTCACTAAAATCCACATATTTACGTAGAAGCAGCATATTTATATATATATATAAAACAGTGAATTACTGGAAACTGCTTCTATGTAAAAATGTGGATTTTAACGTAAATGTGACTATATTTATTAAAAGTAAAGAATTTTTAGGAAGGCAATTCATCTCAAATTCAAAAAGGTAGGTTTGAAGCAAATCTCACCATTTTGTTTGGAATGATATTTCTTATCCAGCTGATGAGGTGCCATGATGTCTCTGCTCCATTTTTCCAACGTTTCCATCTTCCACCCCCTGTAAACAACATGAGCAATCACGTTTATTTCTCATCATAAGTGATATTTGCAGTGAGACATGCATCTGCTGGTCAGATGTGCGCCTGCAGTGAAGGGGACAGACAGACACCCCCGCACTCAAGCATTCCAGGACAGTCTGTTACAGAAATATATGCAGTGGTTTCACGATCAGAGGCTGCCGAACACGGGCATTATTATATAAACGCACAGTGAATGGCTCGGGTAAAATCATCACTGCGTTAAATGAGCGTTTATGTCTCATCAGTTGTGTGTACAGCTTCATCCGGATGGATGTGCTGTATCCGAGCATGCTATCGACTCAAAACAGCAGACAGTAACACACATAAGACAGACGTACAAGACATGTATAACGTTTGAAACCAGAAAATATATTAAACATAAGATTGTTTTAAACAAACCCCAGCCATTCATCTTTGCAGCGCTCAGCTGAATGAAGCTCACGTGGACAGTGACGTCACGGAAGCGACATGCTACGCATCATGGGAAATGTAGTTGGTATGTGGTTGGCCAAAGTGGGTAGGTCCACTAGACAAGCTTGAAGAGATTTTAATTTAAATTCAATTTATATATATATATATATATATATACATTAAAAAAGTGTGTTATAGCAGTTTCCATTGTGACAACATATCCTTCAAATGTGGAATATTGTTAACGATGAAAAGGTTCAATAGTTGTTGCGGCCTTTAAATGAACAAATATAAAGAGAGTGTGACAGTGTGAATTCATACAAGTAAAAATGTTTTAAGGTAGGAGCAAGGAAGGCAGGCAGAGACGTGGAAATGTCATAAGTTTCAAGTTTCAAGTTTTTTTTTTTTTTAAATAGCACATTTAAAAACAGCAAGCATGGCTGACCAAAGTGCTGAATAAAACACAAGATAAAGAGACAAGGGCAAACCACACATTCATGACAGAAGCTCACAATTAATTAAAAGCTATAAAAAAGTTTTAAAAACAAGGAGATTTAAAAACAGTTAAAGACTGTGCCGATCTGATGTAAACCGGAATCTAGGGCTCCTCTATGATTTAATCGTGATCTGGGGACAGATAAAAGTCTCTTATCACCAGACCTCAGATTTTGTGTGGGATTGTATGGACAGAGTAGCTCAGACAAATAGTTCGGTCCCAGATTATTTAAGGATTCAAAAACAAAGAGAAGAATTTTAAACTCAATTCTAAAATGCACATGTAGTCAATGCAGCGATTTCAAAATTGGAGACACGTGATCAAATTTACGTTTTCTTTTGAGGAACTTTGCAGCAGCATTTTGTACTAATTGCAGACAAGCAATGGAGTATTTGGACATGCCTTAGTAAAGAGAGTTGCAATGATCCAAACAAGATGTAATGAGCATGGATTGCAATCTCTAAGGTTTTCTCAGAGAGAGAGAGGATTTCATCTTAGAGAGAAGACGTAGCTGGAAGAAACAAGAACTAATCACCGCATTTATTTCTTTTTCAAATTTGAGGGTCTGATCCCAGAAAACACCTAAATTCTTAATCCAGGATGAAGTAAAAGAAGCAAGGTAATCCAGGTCAATGTTACTGCTCTTAAAGTTTTCATGGGGGCCAAAGACTATAACCTCGGTTTTAGATTCATTCAGAAAAAAGATATTTTGAGAAAACCACATTTTCACTTCATCTAGGCATGCAAAAATCGATTTCAGAGCAGCACGTTTGTTGCGTTTCAGAGGTAAATAAATTTGGGTATCATCTGCATAGCTGTGAAATGATACACCATGCTTTCTGAAAATGGAGCCCAGAGGAAGTAAATACAGGGGGGAAAAATGGGTGCGAGAAGTGGAATCCACAGGAGAGTTGAGCAGGCGAGGAAGAAAAATTACCCAGTCTAACAGAGAGACTTCTATTCATTAAATATGATTTAAACCAACTGAGGACAGTTCCCTGGATTCCCACAAAACATTCTAGTCGGGATAAGAGAATTTTATGATCAACTGTATCAAAAGCCGAGGTTAGGTCTAACAGTATTAGGATCACAGAGTCACCAGAAACAGTCGCTAACAGTATACCGTCAAAACCCCGTAATAAAGCCGACTCGGTGTTGTGCAGAGGCTTAAAGCCAGACTGGAAAGTTTAAAAAAAATTGATTTGAGCTAAGAAAGGACTAGAGTTGAATGAGAACAGTTTTCTCCAATGCTTTGGTAATAAAAGGAAATGTCGAGATAGGTCGAAAATTATTAAAATCCCTATCATCAACCAAGTGAAGGTTTCTTGAGAAGAAGTGTAACAGTAGCTTGTTTTAGGGGATCATCCCTGAGCACAAGCATTTATTCAGAAAAGACACCAAACCTGGTCCAACCGAATCAAAAATTTGTTTCAAAATACGGGGAGAAAGAACATCATTACAGCAGAAGGAAGGTTTCAAATGGTCAATCATTTCTCTGAGAGACAGAAAAGAAACTAGGTCAAAAACACTCCATATGGCTGAAGAACAACAAAGTTCAGGTTGTAAATTCAAGTTTCCTAATCAGAAATTCATCTATCAAGTCGTACACCCTATCAAGTCGTATTTACTACTGGGAAATTTAAAGATAATTTTGATACCCGAGTTTCTGATTTGGAAATCCCACACAATCCGAGGTATTGCTGCTGTGACTGTTAGGCCCTGTTCTTTATCAATTTTTCCACAACCGCTACATCCCCTTGTCTTGTCATGTGCATATAGTGCATATTTATAAATATGAATAACCCTTTGAAGCCCTGTGTTTTATACACAGCAAAAATAGCATGTAGGCCTATTTGAAATTCCAGAATCTTGAGCAAGCTGACTATCTACTGCGGAATAAATGTTGGCTTTGATATTTATAAAAAAATAAGTAAATCAATTCTCACAGTGCAGCATTCCACTTATTAACTTATTAATTTATTTATATGTATTAGATACCGTATGCGTTTGTTTTTTCTGTTGGTCTGACATGTTGGTTATGATTTCTAACATTTCTATTAAAGACTGCAGTCTCTAGCGTCAGTCGCTAGCACCTCTTGAGATCAGGAGAGTGAGGTTTACATGCTTGGAGAACAGGGATATCCAAGTTATAAAATCTGGTGAAGGTGGATGGTGAGGACTAGCTGGCTGCCACACAGATGTCGCCAATGGATACACCACTGGACCAGGCCCAGGAGGATGTCATGCCTCTGGTGGAGTGGGACTGAAGGCCTACAGAGGCGTAAGCTAACACAATTGCATCCACTATACAGTGGTATTATATCTGCTTCGTAACCGGCTGGCCTTTAGTGCAGCCCCCGAGCACACAAAAAGCTACTTTGATTGCCGAAACTAGCCAGAGCGCTCGACATATACTTTGAGAGCCCGGACCAGACCGGGTAATGACCTGTGCTCTGAACAAAGTAGAGAGCACCTTAGGCACATAGCCTTATCTCGGTTTGAGGACGACTTTGCAGGCATTTGGCCCAAACTCAAGGCAGGACGCACTCACCGAGAGCACCTGCAAGTCATCCACTCGCTTAATGCCAGCAGAGGGGAAGTCATAAGCGAAAGGGGCCGCAGCTCAGCCGACTGTGGCAGCTCAAAGGGGGGGCCTCTGAGAACCCTGAGGACTGTGGACTGGTCCCAAGTTGGAATAATACGGGGACGAGGCGGATTCAGCCTTCTGGCCCCCTGAAACGACTTCTGGGTTGCAGTGAAGCGTTAGAAAGAGTGGATGCGAGCCAAGTAGGGGGCGCACCACGACTTAGTTGGTTTTTTATGAACCTCCAAAAAGAACGGAGCAGGTCTCTGGCGTGGGGCCTGTTGGCAGCACCCTGGCAGGAACCACTCACCAAGGCAGCTGCTGACAGGCTCCTCTGGGACCAACCACTCCAGCCTGAGCTTCTCGACAGCCTTCATAAAGACGTGGATGACCTTAGCTTCCATTCCGGTCCTGGCTTCGCCTGGATCCTTGGATGGCAAGGGGGTGGAGGCCTCTACGGAGCCCGACCACTTCTCTGCACCGGAAGCTGCCAGCAACATGCTATCATTGGGAAAATCCACCTCGGATCCCCCAAACAAGACCATACTGCTCATGCCAGATGAGGGGCGCTGGTCTGGGTGGGAAAAGATCACTGGGGAATCCTCTCTCCAAGGGGATGGTGAGGCACGTTGAATCTAAGCCAGCATGAGCTCACTCACACCCGTTTGCTCAACCCTCTGGCTCCGCTGTTTCTTCCTCCGAGGTTCCTGGGAGGAAGAGAATGAGAGATCGAGAGGGGCGGGACTGCTTTCTGAAAAGAAAGCAATTCGCAAATCACAGTGGCCCTCATTTATCAAAAGTGCGTACATCAAATTTCCAGCGTACACCTGGCGTACACCCAAAACCACGGTGACTTTGAGATTTATCAATATGGACGTTGGCGTACGGCACGCTCAAATCCTACGCCAGCTCAGGAGGTGGTGTACGCACGTTTTGAGTTAGTGCGGAAATGTGCAGAAAAACAATTCCTAACACCACAAAACGCACTGACAAACTAAAAGATATTATATATTGTGACCCACAGTAAAAAAAAACAACAACAATATAGTAATTATAAACTTCAGTGTTTATTTTTGTGCAACATGGACTTCAATGTTTAATTTGTGTGACTTTACCAAAGCATTTGATTTGTAGCCATATGTATTCCTTCAGTTGCGAGCCTGTGCGCTTTACCCTGACGTTTCATGGTTTGGCCCGGCAGGTGCGCACGGACTGAGTTCGGTAACGAAAGGCTTTCAATGACCAAAAAATAATTCAGACTGACAAAATAATAAAAAATACATTCTTCTTCTTTTAAACAATAATAATAATACAAATAATAATAATGACATTCTTCTTCTAAATAACAAAAAGCGTCATTAATAATACAAATCATACTAATAATAAGAAGAATATTACAAATTGTCATGCAATTATTAATGTGAATGAATGGTACTCCACATCACATCATCATCATCACTATTGTACACACCAATACATGTAACGTGATTCGAAATTGAATGCTAATCATAGACTGTAAGATGCTAATTCAAAAGACGTGCTGTAAAATATTGCATTGTGGTAGGTCATTTCGGCTCCACGTCAGAGAAGTGTCTTTTCTTTGCCGTCTTCCCTGTGTCCATGGCGTAAAATGAGGGCGTGTGGGAAGCGGAGACTTGAATATATAGGGGCGTGTTATTCTAATGACGATCGTTTTTAGCCGCGGGATTTATCAAGGGCAGGCATTGCGTACACCTGGATTTCAAAGGTACGCACAGCTTCATAAATCAGGCGGTGAGAGGAGTGTAACCATAATCTTACGCCAACATATACGCCCGTTTCTACGCAAGAATGATAAATGAGGGCCAGTGAGAGCAGCTCTTCTTGGTGAGTGCGGCTTCTGCATGGGCTTTCCCCAGGTCTGTTGTTACGTGCCAGGACTTAGTTTATTTATGTTGGTATGTTGACATATTGACGTG